AGAGAACACAGTTGCATAAAGTTAAACTATATTCCTGACATGTTCTTTTCTTTAACTAACTTGCATAGTTGTCCACTAAAGTCTGACAGCACTAGCATTGATGACAGATTCTTGTTGGGGGGGTTGACAAAGTACGAGAAGTGATTTAAATGTTAGCTATTTAAAGTGAACGTTTTTTAAATGTACACTGTAACATATTACCATGATTTCACAATATTTAGCTGTAATATTTTAAGATAAATTACTGTTTTAACCACTTTACAGTCTTTACCTGTAATGTTCACAATATAATATTGTAATTTAGAATTTCACAGTGAAATCAATGCAGGCACAGTTAATTACTGTGAATGTACAGGATCAACGATTACCAGGATTTCACAACATGTTACTGTATTATTTCATAGTAAAATACTGTATTCAGACCACCCTCTGTGATAACACAACAAATTAAGGGATTTTCTTGCTTTTATCGCTCTTGTTTGGCTTTAAATACTAATTTCTTTCTTTGGTGCAGGTTTTACTTAAATTGAAAGGGGCACCGCTGCATGTGCCTTAAAATAAACGATGCAACATATAAATCTATATGTAAATTGAAATTCTTGTCTTGGCTTATTGTTTTCAGGTGCTTCCTGGGCATTAATCCTGAGACGGGCTCGAAAGTCAAAAAGAGGCATGGCAATTTAAAGCCCCATGTCAGCACATTCTTCAGAAAAATTGTTGCTTTCGAGTGGATGTCTGTGTAGACATGTGTTACGTGCTCCCCTCCTTGTTTTATTTTCTGTCTCCCTGCTACAGGTGCACCTGGTCTGTCCCTGGNTCACAATATTTAGCAGTAATATTTTACAATAAATTACTGTTTTACCACTTTACAGTCTTTACCTGTAATATTCACAATATAATACTGTAATTTTGAATTAAATTCAAAATTACAGTATTATATTGTGAATATTACAGGTAAAGACTGTAAAGTGGTAAAACAGTAATTTATTGTAAAATATTACTGCTAAATATTGTGAAATCATGGTAATATTTTACAGTGCACACATGCCTCAGACCTTCTGTATCTTTCTTCCACAAGCAGGCAACATGTGCTGAATTGTTGGATAGTTGAATTATGTAGCACCCTCTTTCTTATGAAACAGAGCCATTGTGTAACACGTAATTATTTGTGGTAGACAGGTACACATTGGGGTTGACAGATGCCAGTTCACATCGCCCTGAGTGTAAACACTGTCAGCATGCCTTGTGATCCTGTTAGATTGCTATTCTATTCAATGTAAACCACTCCTGTGTGGCCAAGGCCAAGGCAGGTGAAACACGGTTCAGCCGTTGAGTTTTTCTGCAGGTTTTCTGATTCCTGGATTTCCTAAAAGTATTGGCATGATCTTAGCACCAGTTCTCAAGGCAACAGGCAAATGACTATTCCAGTGATTTGCATGGAGATCTTTTATTTTGCAGCATGTCTCTGTTCGGGCTTGGCTCTTATTATATTGCAAGTTAAGCGGTTTACTATTCTGCTAACTGAGGTCAAAGGTTTTTCCTAACCTGTTGACCATGCAAACACATTACTTTTTGATATCTAAGAGGACACAAATGGTAACATGATAACCTTGTGTGTGCAGATTTCAGAAACATGGTCTTATCATAGTCATAAATGTAGATTTACAGTAAAACATCTCATGTTGTGAAAGCAAATCCATTCCCACACTGGGTGCCGCCTGTCTAGGCTGTGTGTCAAGACATTTGGCAGATTATATCAAGACTTGGGCAGGGTTGCGTTGCCATGGAGTACCTGAAACTAATAAAGCCGTTATAAATCTGATTGATGTTATTTTAAATAAACACATAATATGGTTGCAGAGACTTGTCGGAACTTAATTGTGGCAATTAGAGGATTTCCTGTGGCAGTACCTACCAACAAACCAATAGCACAATTCAACAACAGCATCAAGGACTTTCTTCATGCAATGATAATTACATATAAAGAATACTGTTTAACCAGATAAAGAACACACATTTGGGGAAGTATTCTTGCCTGGATTCTGAGTGAGATATTCAGTGTCAGTAGGCTGATTCTGTCGAAGTCAAACTTGCCATGCGACATACTGTATGTTACATCAAGTTCACTTCAGGTAATGAAATCTGCTCTATCCTCTCACGTTTACAGCGAGCTTCGCCTGAGGCCCTGTCCTGTCTGTGCCAGTTCTACAGCTTGGAGCTCAATGACCCATTTAAGTGTCATTGTTGAGCTATAGTTGCCTTCATTTCATGTACACTTTCTAACTTCCCCTTCATTGGAAAGTTGGACGCAACAAGTCCTCTTACCTATGGACATGACTTTACTTTGTATAGCCAAGCCTCCAAGAAAAATATCTCCCTAAGAGGTTCTGCGGCAGTCTAACAGCTCCTTGCTTGTGATTGAGCTTATGAGGTAGGGCAGTCATTATGTACACAACCACTAAAGCTGTTTGTCAGGAAGACAGAAAGACTAATTTAAGTGTTTATAGGAACATCTTTTCACACTGGCTCCTACTGAACCCATTATAGGCTGCAAATAGTGTATATTCAGTCAGAAACAGGACTCAAACTTCTGGTTAAGTCTGAATGAAACTGTTGGCTGCATAACACTTCCACTAAGCATATAAACAATATCATTGTGGAGGCAATAGTAAAATATATATAGCAATAGCAACAATTCATAGTCTTATTTGGGTGATAGTCATCCCGTGAGGGATCTCATCTTACAAGAATAACGACTCTACTATCCAATGTTGGCAGTAACAACTGCAGTTCAGAGGAAATTGGGCGTATTAACTTGGCATTTACTTGCTGGTGTCCCTATAGGTTCCAATGTATTAGCTCATCCTTCAATCTTTTTACCTTCTTGTCTCTTTATTGAATGTTATCTCTTGGAAGCATTTGTATAATGTCTTCAGAAAGTTGCAGTGCGAATCCTGATTAGCCAACAAAACGTATTGGTTCGCTTTTGGAAATATGGACATTTCAAAATAACTATGGAATTGGGATTGCTTATGTAAGGAAGTCACATAACAAATAAGTCAATGTTGGTTTAAAATAATGATGGAAGCCTTTTTTGACCAAACCCAAGACTCTAGCCATTACCGGACTTCGGTGCTCTTTATACTCACCTGTCCTGGCCCGTGATAACATCACCTATACTAATTGATTATGTGGGTTGTTAATTATTGTGCTTTACTTTTGTAGGTATAAATAAGAACAATGTATGAAAACAGCCTGTAATATTAACCAATCATTGCTCAATGATAGTTATGTCCCTATCATTTGTAGAAACAGGCATGTGTTAACCGACTTGGCAATAAACCTGTTCCTGATTCTGATTCTTATGATGATAGTGACAATAACAAATGCACAATCCAAACAACATGCTGCTGTATTAAATAATTAACAAATGTAGACCTAATTTGTCTGACTTTCTTTAAATATTTAAAACATACCTCTTTATAGCCACCAACACGTGAGGCTGTCTAGTGCAGATTTATAGAACCACACAGCACTGGTGGCATGGTTTGTAGTCCATTAGCTTCAAACCACTTCTTCTTCAACGTTTCCCAGGTTTTCTCCGGACCGAGATTCTTCAACAGATTACCACTCAAACTCTTCCACACTGACATGAAGTTGTGCAGAGCTGCTTTAAAGGACCACAGTGATGGTTTGTTTGTTTGAGCTCATTAACTATATTGTTTATACTTTCAGGTCTCAGGCTCGAAAATGACATTCCCAGAACAAATGACCATATCTTCCCTTCTAATAGGGTTAAATTAATAATCTTTTTTCTCAAAGCAAGGTTACATCTTTGAGTTGGATGTAGAAGTGTCAGAATCAATATAGATGTTTTTATTTTAAAGTAAATTCAGATTGAACATAGTAAAAAATGTAAATTATAGTGTCCGTACAAAAAGAAAAAAATACTTATAGTGAAAACCACCCTTGGATGATGGGATAGTAGACTAAAAGCTTTAGGAATCCAAACTATACATACACACTAACATATAATAAGTACCCTGTATCAAGATTGATGCAAAACGCCAAGGAACCGGAAGCTGCGATACACTCTGGTGGCTATCATTAGCAGCTAATACATTTTTACATAAAAATGGAATTATGGATTATCAATAATTTGGTGACAGACACACTGGATTAACCTATGGATTAACCCTCAGCAGCGTTTTTATCTTTTTAATGCCATTGAACACGACTTTTGATCAGATTAACAGCTAAGGTGAGACGATCTCTACGTGTTTACTACGTAATGCTACGTGTTGTGATGTCTGTGTTTGCTTTCCCTGTCGCGAGTTCTGATCGCTCAGTGACGATAGCAATACCTTTATAATCTGTGGAATCTCATCTTTAATTGGGTATCTTGTATGTGCAGTTACGATAAGTAATAAGGGTATTTTTACCTTGAGTTCTGTGCCAAGTGCGTTAGCATTTTTTCGCTCATGGGACATTTAGACACTTCTTATGAGACTTGTGTTTTGTTTCGGTAAAAATGGTTCGTAATGTCAGTTAGCTGAGTTTCTTCCCGTTAATCTGGTATGACACATTAATAGGTTTTTAAATATTAAGAAGCCCTGAGACACAGTTTCGTGAGAAAAAAAACCTGCAGCCCCCTCTACCGGGGGCTCTCGGGCTTAACAGGTTAAGGCTGCACCCTGTTGCATTAGACAGACTTTTACCATCAGACAGTCAGTGGCTTTAGTTCATTTAATCACAAGGAAATCTCTCTGATGGATTATCTGCAGTAACTTTTGAACGGCTGCAAATTGATTCAAATTATTAATGAAATCTTAACTCAATGTATTTAACATCTGGGATGCTAAAAACCAGTGGTCCCAAGTTGGTTTTGGTTTCTCCACCTCCATATTGATTGTTTTTGCTTCAGTCTCACAGCTCTCTTCAGTGTTGTTTCTAGCAGCAGCTGTTCAGGAAATAAACTGTGATATACACTTTGCAGTACACTATCTGCCTGGCACAAACTTCAGTTATGCAAAGTTAGCATCTAGCTAGTGAACACAGTGGAGTATTTAGCAGCTAAAGAGCCAGATATTACAGGAGTTGTTGGAAACCAAAACAGAGCTTGGAGAGTTTCAACATATGTTCATCGCAAAAACAACCACAAATAAACAGAGATGTTGATTTATTCAAAATGTACTTAATTTGTAAGAATAGTCTCTTTGCTCAGCCTTGTTTGAGGCGCAGATGTTTGTAGTTCTCTGATGGCCCCTTGCAGAACTGATAGTTCATTTTTCATTCTAACAAAATCATAAGGGTGGTGAAATGTATCAGTGGAATGATGGTACAGCATTTTACAGTCATATGTTCTACCAACAATGAACAGTCACTGAAGACCGAAGTGTACGCAAACCATTCACTGTTGCCTTATGAACCCCCCCTCTTCTGGTCTTGACGGATTATAAAGTGTCCCCAAAGAGGTTTCTACCGAAGTGGGCAATTGCAGAGTTGGCAATTTCCTCAAGGAGTTGTGTTTCTGTTAAACCTATAACCGACGATAGGTTGGGACGTGTCACGTGTGCCTGATGTCGCCAATGACGTTATAGGAGGGAAAATTATGGATCTGCTCCCCCCTTTTAAAAAAAAAAATGTTTAGATGTGGGTATGGAGGAAAAGAGAGAGGGTTTAGTTTTCTGACACTTTGTGAGTTCCCTGACACACCGGGGACACATATTTATGTATAAAAGACATAAAGAAATGCATTTTGCATGATAGGTCCCCTTTAAGTTATGTTAACAGGACCCAGAGAGGACGCCTTCCGAGTGTCATCTTGTTGAACGTCTGAGAACTGAGAATATCTAATATTACTAACCTCTCTAAACATTGAACAGATCAGCATCGAGTTGTGTTTAGCAGTGTGTAACAAGCAGTTATCCAGTGATACTGATACTCCCTATGAACACCCAGGAGAGGTGCATTCAATTGTTTTCTTCATGATGTTTCCTCCTGAGCTTTTTATTAATTAAAAGTATCCATCACGGTTGATGGGAATGTCATGATTACAGACTGTGGCCTGGTGTAAGAGAAGGTATAAATATATATGAGTGTTTTAGCCTACGGCAGTCTGTGACTGGTAACCTTCATCTTGAGAGCTTCATTACACACAGGAATGTCTGCCATTGGAGCACACTAACCTCCATCCCATAATTCTTTTAAGAGATAATATTCAGCCTCCGCTAATGAGTTCACATAAATCAGCTGGATCGTGCTAATTTTGGGGATATTACAGAAGAACAGCTTGTGATATAATGGTTGAACCAGCCGCGCGTCTATCAGTATCCATGGCGACAGCTGTTTCCTGTAAATGGAGAGTGGCCGTTCATCCGTCTTTATCTGTTTATTTCTAGCCTTCCTCAGTGTGCCGTGCTGCGTTTACTGCCGTCTCGTAAAGTTTGTGAGTGATCTGGGGCAAGAGGGGGTAAAATGTGTTACATTTATGAACCAAATTGTTACCATGGAAACAAAACGTAATATCTCAAAATTGTACTCTGGTTCTTAATAATGTTTTCTTTTCGTATAATAAATGGGAGGTAGTAGCATTTCCCTTGATGAGCTGCTAAACAATCTGTCTCATTTAGCAGATTATAAAAATCTGGTTTTCACATTTGGTTTGCAATATAAATCCTCACTGCATCAATTATTGTTTTTGGATTTACTCATTTGAACTTGCCTTAAGATGATCATATCCATACAGTTTTGCTTATTGAGGGATTACTGAATGAGTTGATCAAGAGCCTGTTTTAAATAACCTTTATTATATATATTATCCTATATTTTTTAGGAATTTTATGATGCTGTTTTACTTATTTTTAAAGCAGTGCAACATACTGTGGCAACACTAACTTGAAAGAAAATGCATTAGTTATCCAATTTAAAGTCAAGTACAAAACAGTTCTGCTTTCAGAAAAATAGAAGCTGCATCGTAGGTTGTCTCTAATGGTTTCATATTGCATTTAGTCTTATATGTAGTCTCAGTGTGAATATTGTGTGGCAGGAAGCTTTGGCCGGGAGTCAGATAGATTCTTACTAACATGAGAGAAACACTATGGTTCAGCTGCAGTTTAACCAACAGCTGCTCTTGATGGCTCTGTTTCCCCTGTATAATGTCACTGAGAAAACAACTCGATGTAATCTGTAATGAATTTGTTTCTTTCTCATTTGATGGGGTGCTCTTTTCAGTCTGTTATGTATGTACATGTGTAAAGCCTTGACACAGGAAGATTTAGCAATATGTTTTATAATAATACATGTATTTGTATTTAAGCATGCCTTTCACGATACCCAAGGACACCATACACTTCAATTAATACTCTAAGAGGTTCAAAGCAGCAACACATGATAAAAAACAAACAAACAGGCAAACATGGAGGAGACAATCAAAGAAGACACAAATGATGGGGACAGGTTGTTCAGAGGATGGTGAGCACTACAGTGAGGAGTCTTTTTGTTGGGATTTGACTGTGGTGATTGTGTCAGGAGGATGTGTGTTGTGAGGGACTAAAAGCCTGAGCATCCATGGTGATTTATCCACTGCGACATCAACAAAAAGAAAAAGTCGGGTAGAAACAGGGTATTTAGCCTGGATCAAGGGCTTTAAACTCTGCATGGTCAGTGCTAGTGTTAGGCTAATAACTCAATTCATATTCATCTCTGCTCCTCTCCCAGGATCTCCGACCCTAGCTCGTGAGCACTCAGTCAGCCCACAGCAGGAGGTGTCTGCCAGCATGAGGAGGAACGACAACTACCTGCCGGTCCCTGGCGAGGAGAAGAACCTGGATGTGGACTTCAACACCACCGCCAGGAGCAACGAGTCCATAGTAAGACCCGACACCGTACTGTTCTACTGGGTCATGATGTGTGGCGTAGAGCACTGACTTAGGGCCAGTACGGAGGATCAGTCTAATACATTTGTATGAAAAGAGCCAAAAAGGTGCACATTACATTTCATTAGAACACAGAGGAATATTTTCATGGCTTTGTTTCTTGACATAGTTAGCAAAGACTTGCATGTCTCTGATTACTGTGAAAAATGCTCAAATAATAAGCCAGAAAGTATCAAGTTAAAAGCGGTCTAATTTTTCTTTGGATTACCGGTTAACATTGGAGTTAGTTGGAAGCCTGGTTAGTCGAATCAAGACGCTGAAGGTTGGCTTGTATGTCGGAATCAAACACAGAGGGGTGGGACAAAGCGTCTGTACTTGACGACCGGGAAATGATCACCACCTGCAGTAACACTTGAAGCTGGGGACATAGGCACACAGAGTTCTAGAATGCTCCTCAACTTACTAGGAATAGGAAATAGGAAAACCTCTTGCAGGTAAACCTGTGTGTGTGGCAGGGTTGTGTTTAAAAAATATGACAATAGCAGGGACCTTAAGGTGATACCATTTCCAAAAGAGTATCATTTGACACGGATTTGTGATGGAGGCATTCAGTTGCGTGAAAGGTCAACACCACTCCCCAAAGCCATAGTTTAGTTCTGCAGGCGTCTTGACAAGCTAAACTGCAAATACACACACGGCCCTCTCATGAAAACAATTTATTTCTTTGAGTAAAAAATATGAAGTGATATTCACAATGTACTTAGGTGCTTAGCAATGCAGGACACAATACAAATGGAGAGGTTTCCTGAAGATAACTCAGTGGAATCTTCAGTTGCATTGCATCACAGTTGTTCTCGACACGAGCTGTGTTGTGTAATGAGCGCTGATGAAAGGTCAGGTGCACACACAGCATGCCAAGTCCAACACAGGCTCACCTCTGATATGTGATTATGATCGGCTCCGCACTTTTACCATGGTGCTGGATATAAGTGATGCTCTATATTATATGCTACATGTATATTGTGAACAGCCCAGTTACAGCATTCCTATTTTATGGAAATGTGGGGACTACTCAAAAGTATGTGGTGCATAAAGCATTTCAAAGAGCCAACCATCAATAACTCTAACGTATGCTTTGTCATTGCATTCATAAATAACTTTTGACTCTCTACTACACCTATGCCAAAAGAACTGCCGTAATTTAGGCTATAGCCACCTGTTTTATATTTGCATAGTGTCCGGGGAACAGGAAGTCATTTGTTTTACAGAACATGACTGAAATGCAACAGGGCTCTTGAATATTGAGCTTGAGCAGCAGTAAAAAGAGCAGCTATGAAAGCGCCACTTGAGCTGAAGGATATTCCTGCAGCTCGGCGCCTCTCCTTCAGCAGACAGCTTTTTCATGGTCACCACAAACACAGTCCTTTATACTGGACATCAAGAGTCTAAATGAAACATATGTTCATATTAGCTCAGAGTGAAAGAGCTGCAAACTTTCACATGTTTACATTATTTATAGATTTTTATTGTGAAGATATATTACAGCTTGTTCCGTGTCACTGCTGCAGCTGTTTTCAAAATCAAACAGCTGTAAAGACTGCTCAGCAAACACACACATATTATCTGCTGAACCTAGTGGAGTGCAGATTATCACATGAATAATAATGTTCCTTTGTGTCTGCTAGATGTGTTGATAGGCGATAGATGATATTGTCAAAAAAGTGACTGCAGGTTGAATGATCTATTTAATATTGCATTCGCTTACTCACCACTAAAATGTGTTTTTATGGTCTTCATGTTCTATTCAAGTCTGTTGCATTACTGTTATGCATGGCCTTAAGGGAGGAATTATGAAAATGTGTTGTCTAGACTTAATAATCATGAAGACTTAATTTGAATTTGGTACCTTTTGAAAGGTTTGCATAATAATACATAATTGTCTTGACACATTTTTACAATTGAAGTTAATCCGTTTCAAATCTAGGAAAATGTGTTTTATCCAAAAATAAAAAGTGCACTCAAAGATTGCAGATAAATTGAGACAAACCACAATTGTCTACCAAATGTCACCTCTCTGTTCATGGGACACTGAACCCGCTGTCTATACTTATTCTGTCTGAGAATGTCAACGCCTCGAGCTGCACAGGAGCAGACAAAGTCATCGGAAGGAAATGTAACTGACATTACATTACATGTCACTTGTTAGACGCTTTTATCCAAAGCGACTTACATACTCAATACTGTGGACAATCCCCACAGGAGAAATTTGGGGTGAAGTGTCTCAGGGACACAACGACATGCTGAATGCAGTGGGACTAGAACTTGCTATCCTCTGATTCAAAGTCCAGTACTCTATCCACTGAGCCACAGCCACTCCGAAAATGTAGCTGACCCTTAAATCATTCATAATTTCACATCAGAAACCATAGGACATTAAAATGTGACGCACACAGCTGGGACCAGTCCAGGACCATGATCACATGATTCCTTCCTTCCTGCAGATCTGCTGTAAGCTAGCTTGCTAACGTACTGTAGATAACCAAGCCATTTTAAATATACTGACAAAACACTTACAATTATAAAACTGACTAACTCTGCCAACAGTGATACTTGTTTAACTGTATAATCTTCGAACATCGTGAGTCCCTTTTTAGTGTGCCCATTTATGTGGTGTTTTGAGCTTCGGCGTTTTTTCATTTCAGCGTTTGTTTTATACAGTGCTTTAAGTAAAACCCATTTGGCACATATGTTTTTTTTATATTGGAATCTTTTTGGAAAGTGCAGCTCATGTTTCTCCTCATGGAAATGTTTTTGGGCATTACATCAGCCACCGTAAGATAAGAATGTACACAATAGAGGAACAAACAGAACAGCAACATAGGAGTACATGCCATCTGAAACAATACAAAAAGAAACATGTAATGATAAAAAGCATTTGAAATAAATTGTAGTAATCAGGAGTCAGCAGTCAATGATAGTATAAAACAGTCAATACATATGTCAATAGTTTATTCCAAAAATTGTGAGTCATTGCACACACACACACACACACACACACACACACACACACACACACACACACACACACACACACACACACACACACACACACACACACACACACACACACACACACACACACACACACACACACACACACACACACACACACACACACACACACACACACACTCAATCCCCCCAAGACCTGTGCCTGGAGGCCATAATAACAACCAGATAATTAAATCAAGTCTTGGGATATCATGCTGAGAAAATATTGTATAATTAGGACCTAATATTACTTTAATTTCAACAGAAAAGCAGCCATGGCCAATTTCACTGCATATGAAATAGGGCTTCAAAGATCATTTGCATAATTGATCATTACATGTGGTCACTCTGGTGGAGCAAGGCACTAATTATGTTTTAGGAATTAGACTCAGAGGACGTCTTGGTTAAAAATGTACTTCTGCTTTATAGCAAAATCAAAGCTTTCACTTTTCCTCTAGTGGGATGAGGAGTTATTTCAAAGAGTCGCTTTCTCACTTAGATCTTGTGCTATTCAGCTTCCGAAATACTGAAGAATAAGCCACTTCAAAAACTGTATACACTGAGGCCAGTGGAATATACAGTGGAGTATGACAATGTTACATTTTTTAACAAGTTTTTATGTAATGTTGTGAGCACCGTAAATGGGATTGTTTTTGACCTGCTGTAATGTACAGATATCTCCTATCATAAAACGTTCTGCATTGCCCTTGCCTATCTGGGTTTGTAATAACTTACTGCACATTTATTATTGGCACTGCGTCTAAAATTGTGATTGAAAGCCTCCAACGTGCAAAAAGACTGCTGCGAAAAACATTATTGACTTGAAAACTGCTGGCTGGCTGTGTGTGTGTGTGTGTGTGGCTGGCTGGCTGGCTGGCTGGCGGCAGTGTACATGTGGAAGCCCAGAGCAGAGGAGAGCCTCATTTCCCGGTGGCTTAGTGAGAAAAGAGTTCCTTTTGGTGAATGATGCATACACCACCACATCCTCATGCGCCCTCTGAGGAGCGACCTCTGACCTTTGCTGCTATGAGTAATTCCTGTTGAGAGAGGGCTAAAGATGAGTATGTGTGTGGGGATGAGGCAGGGGGCTGCTATATACAGTTTACACACACACATTCACACACAGCAGACCCTCCTGATACTGGTTCTTATCTCCCACAGGAACAGTGGGTCGGTGGCTGTAAAAGGAAAAGCTCTTCCACTCAGTGCCCGCTGTGTCAATATTAGTTTTCAGTTTTATTGTTGATTTACATCGATGAGAGCAATACATCTTCAGTAAATGGCTCTTTTATTGGCCATCCAATTGTCTCTATATTACTAAGTAAACATCCGTGTTGGATATCAGCAGCTTTTAATGCCATGACACATTCCCATGCAGTATTTGCTGCCTTCAGATTTGCGTATTCTCGTCACTCTAGGAGTTCACCTTTATTTGTACTGCTTTAACGCTGCATGTGAACTGATGAATCAACATAATATTCACATGCATCATTACATTACATGAGCTGTCACTTGTTAGACGCTTTTATCCAAAGCGACTTACATACTCAATACTGTGGGCAATCCCCACAGGAACAATTTGGGGTGAAGTGTCTCAGGGTCACATGCTGACTGCAGTGGGGTTTGAACCTGTGACTCCCTGATCCGAACACCAACGCACAACCCACTGCACACACACCATCACAACCAGACACTCAAAAAATTGCTTTTTCCAAATGCCAAATTCACACAACACTATAAACACAAATGCAATGGGTCAGTACCTGTAACCACAGCAATGCTATCACTGTACCCAAATATACCATATACACACCAAGCAGAACCAGAGCAACATCATTCAGACTAAATATTGTCCAATATTCTTTTAGCTCTGTTTTTGGTCTCCACCAAGTATTAAAAGAAAAGCTCTGCCTAATTTGCTATTAAATGCTTGGCTTTGTTCA